TGGCATGTGACCTCGATAGGAGAGAACAGGTTGAGATCAATTTGGATGATAGCAATGAAACCGATTCGGAAGTCCCTCCAGATCCCAATGCACAGCCAAGTAGTTCAGGAGTCTTGTCCATTCCTTTGCAAATTGACCCCAATGAGAGAACCACCATGGGTAAGAAGCATAGGAGGGCAGTCTTGGAGGGGATTGACCGATTGAACCATCAAGATGCATTGGTCAAATCCAGCATTGGTCTGAAGGATGTCCCAGTTTCTGAGCCTCCAACCGTGGTCATTACTTCGCATTCCCGCATCTTTCAGGAGCTTCAAGCAGCAGATGGTGTTGCAGACGTTTTTGACGTCGGTGTGGGAGCTGAGTACCTCAATCCAGAGGAGGACTCCAAGATTTGGTATGATGTTTTGCAAGACTACAAGAACATCGTCATTGCCATCGAGTATGAACAGAGTACAGATCCTTTGAGACATGGTAAGATTTTGGGTGAAGTAGAATCCCATTGTGACATGAGTGGTAGCCGGTTTTTGCACATTGACGTTGCAACTACCCCGAGATGGGAGGAACATGAGTTTCCACAGATTCCCCATATCAACGACCATGACTTGGCATTCACCTGCAATGATCCCAAGTGGACTGAGCTTTTCGAATCGTGGTTTCGAGGACAGACCATGAATGATGTTTTGTCTTGGCAGTTTGTTGATTGGTTAGGTGAATGGACCAATGATACAACTTTGGATGATGAGATGTCTATTGCATTTGTTGGTGAACTGCAGGAAGAGGTGATGGACGATGAACAGCAGTTCGATGCCATCTGGGATGATGATGATCGTGCTCAGGTGAACCCAGTAGAAGACCTGATCTCGGAAGAGACACTGGTCGATGAAGTAGACATCCCAGGCCTGCCAGCAGATGAAGCCGAACGACGCCGGATGTGGCGCAAGTTGCCTGCACGTGTGAGGATTGGTGTGAGAAGATTGCATAGGCAATTTGGACACGTCCCCAAACAGACGATGATCCATCTCCTTCGTGCAGCAAAGGTTCGAAAGGAATTCATCGATGCTGTCAGGATCCACAGATGCGAAACTTGTGAAGCAACATCCCAGAAGAAGGCCACGCATAAGACAGCATTGCCTAACAACTACTCGTTCAACCACACTGTAGGAATTGATGTGTTTGAAGTTCACGACATTTCAGGTGACAAGTTCCAAGTGTTGAACATGGTTTGTTTGGGCACTACTTTTCAGCTATGTGAGGTTGTTCGTTTTGGTGCTGGTCAACCGTCTTCTGCCGAATGTCTGAAAGCACTGAGGAAGCGTTGGTTCTCATGGTGTGGCCATCCTGTGAACATTGCATGTGACAGAGGTCTGCACAACCGAGGTGTCATGAAGAAGTACATGGATGAACATGGAATCCAAGTGTTCCACACTCCTCTGGAAAGCCCGGAGAATCTTGGTCGTGTAGAACGTCATGGAGGCATTGTCAAGTCACTCTTTAGGAAGGTTTGCAAAGAGACAGGCGCTGTTGGCAGATGACAGGTTGAGCAGGTACTGCTCGAGGTAGTAGCTACTAAGAACAACTCCAGTAGAGTCGGAGGTTTCTCGCCTAGTCAATGGGTACTTGGAAAAGGACCCCGATCAGATCCGAGCCCATTGTCTGAAGAACGGTTTGCCGAGCTTGGAGCTATTGAAGCCCGTCACAACCCAGAGAGCATTTTCGCCTTACAGCACATGGCCAGGCAGGAAGCTCAGAAGGCATTTGTTTACCTAGATTGTTCGTCAAGGGTGTCCCGTGCGCTTACTCGCAATGCTTCCAGTCTTCCTCGGGAGTATGCAGTAGGTGATCTAGTGACCTTTCGCCGAGACAATCAAAAAGGGGGCACCACATGGAGTCCCACTAGTCGGGTGATAGGCCATGAAGGTGAAAGGAATTTGTGGTTGTTGTGTGGAAATGTTCCAGTGTTGGTCGCCAATCAAAATGTGAAGATTGCTACGCCGACCGAAGCACTAGCTCATGCTGTTTTGCATGGTGAGCCTGTTTTTCCCGAAAACGTTGTCAAGGAAGGTGTTCAGCAGTCTTTCCTTGATGCACGTGCAGATCCGAGCGAACCCGGATCCCCAATACACATCGAATCTCAAGAAACCGAACCCCAATTTCCGGATGCTGGTTCACTACCCCCTGTTCCAGAAGATGATGAGTTAGATGTAGGGATCAGACCGGATTTCTTTGATGAAGACCAATCCGAAAGTGAAGATGCGCTTGAAGAGTTGAGTAGGTCCGCTAGCTCCGTTTCACGTCCGTTCCCTGACACAGGAAATGAGCATAGCCGCAATGTGAGGCCCCGTGTCGCCGAACCGGAGAGTGAACGCGGTACCTCATTGCAACCATCCCGCAGGGAGTCCACGAGTGCTCCACATGCATGGCCTAATGTGTATGATCATTTGAACGACTTGCCAGCTTCTCTACGAGAACATTTTGAGAGAGCACGCCAGAGAGACGGAGAGCTACCAGAGCAAGATCGAGAAGAAGCACATGCCATGTGGACTAGTTTTCTTGCCCAGACTGAGGATGAAGCAGAGCTAGGTAAGAAGGTTCTAAAGAGCATTCACTATGAGTCTGCGCCTCCAGAAGTGCAGAAAGCCCTGCAGGAAACAAGGCAAAAGGAATGGTCCAAATTTGAAGATTTCGGAGCAGTAGTGGCATTGACCCCAGAACAAGCGCAAGAGCTCATTGACGAAGGGCACCAATGCATTCCGTCCAAATGGGTGGATGTAGACAAGGCAGAGTACAAGAAGGGGAGAGACCCTGACTACAAGCCCATGTATAAAAGCAGACTAGTTTCGTGCGGGAACTTTGAAATGACAGAGGGTTTGAGGTCAGATAGTCCAACAGCTGATGTAGAGATGCATTGCCTCGTCTGCAGCTGGGCAGCGTGCCACCAGGCCGACATTCATTCCGCTGATATTACCTCGGCATATTTCCAAGGACGACCACTGGACCGAGTCCTTCTTATGCGTCAGCCAAGAGGAGGTTTGCCAGGTGTAGAACCCAATGTCCTTTTTCTCGTGAGGGTCCCTGTATACGGGATCACGGACTCAGGAAGAGGCTTTTGGTTGCGTTTGGATGCCGATGCACGTAAGAGCGGCCTGAAGGCAAGCCAGTTTTTCCCAGGATTGTACTACCTCCCAGGTGAGCAGGGAGGAGATGCTTGTGCCCTCATGTGCACTCACGTGGACGACTTGCTTTATAGTTTTCTTCCGGAAGGCGAGGAAGTGATGAAGTCTTTTCTTGCCAAGTTCAGTGTCGGCAGCTCAGACACTAACAGCTTTCGATATTGTGGGAAGCAGTTCGTGCGAGGAGATGACAAGGTCATCAAAGTCGACACAGCAGATAACACTAGGAAGATTCATGCAGCAGATGTTGGGTCTAGGCTAGGCAGTGAGCGTCTTCAGCAAGGAGACATCACGAAGCTCAGATCGATCACCGGATCGCTCGCCTGGATCTCGAGACAGACCAGGCCTGACCTTGGTTACAGGGTAAGCCGTTTGCAGTCTAGCATTAAAGATGCAACTGTGTCCACGTTGGCAGACGCTAACGCAGTCGTTGTCCTGGCACACAAAGGTCACGATGTGGCATTGTGTTTTCCTGCGGCTCATCTCCAATGGAGTGAAGTTGGTGTGATCACGGTCACAGATGCCTCCTTCTCCAACGAGAAGAACTACAAGTCGCAACAGGGCAGGATCCATTTTCTGGGTGATCTCAAGGAGATCAAAAATGACAAGACGACCACTTATAAGGTGATGCCATTGTCTTTTGGATCCACGACAATTAAGAGAGTCTGCCGCAGCACTCTCCAGGCCGAAACGTATTCTCTCCAGAACGGACTCGAGACAGGTGACAAGCTGAGAGGTGTGATTGCGGAGATCAAAGGCAAGATTCGCAGTCTGAAGACATGGGAAGATGATGCCCGTGAATGCATTCCGCATTTGGCGATGACTGATTGCCGTTCGCTTTCTGACCACCTCAATCAGGAAGTCCTGGCCAAGGTGAGTGACAAGCGCCTTGGTATCGAGTTGCAAGGAATCCATGAGAATTTGTGGCAAGAAGGAAGGCCAACATGGATTGCTTTCGAGAATGGAGGAGACAAGTTGATCTGGATTGCCACCAGTACGATGGTGTCGGACTGTCTGACGAAGTCCATGAAGCCAGATCTGCTACTTCGAGTGCTGAAAGAGTGCCACTACACTGTACAGAAGCAGAAGTAGATTTCTCCAATGCCTTAGGAAGACACAAGAGTTTCAATGTATAGCCGTGTGACACCTGTAGAACAGGTTGAGTGTGAATTTGAGGTAGGATCTCATTCTGTTGAGCCAGGTTGTCACACTATGTTGTGTCTGCCGCCGCTTGGCTCCTAGGGCCCTTGAGCTATACCGTGCTCGCTTTCGCAGTGAAAAGAGCGTGTGGACAGTACGATTCCGGTTGCTACCGACACATGTTATACATACAGCCGGTATTTGGCGTAAAGACGGTTGAATCAATGGTGGTAAAGAGCCTCTATAGGGTTTAATTGTGTGCATTTGGAGGGGATTCAGGAAAAATATTTTGACCCAGAGGCTCCATGAGCCTCAAACTGCTACATGTTTGAGGTCCAAAAACCCTGGCTGTGAGGGTCAAAACCCTAGCTATGAGGGTCCAATGAGCCTTTGGTAAAAAACAAGAACAGGACCGGCCATTTCGGTTGATTGGATGAAAAATAACAACCACCTCAATGGCAGGGCTCCCCTGCTTTTCGTGGCTAGGACTGCAGATGCCCTAGCCTTCCGGTCGTCCAGCATTGATTGAAGTGATTTGAACCGAAGGAACCAGAGCTGTTTCACTCAGAAGGTCGGATGCTTCACCCGAAAACGAGGTCGAACCGGTTCCGGGCGTGCTAGGGATCTGGCCCTGGACCCGTTCTCCAGAACGACCACCACGACCACCGAGCGGAGACCACTCCGACCGAGGCACTGTGGGTCTTTGGACCTCCAGCAGCGGGGAAGACCTCGGTGAGTGATCAGGCTAGGAGGACCAGACGAGGAGAAGGGAGGGCCGTTCAAAGGCCCAGGAAGGCGGAGAAACGGGGGCCGAACGAAGGCGGAAGCCAGCGGGTGGCCGGCCCTGAGGGTCCGATTTTGACCTTCTGAGTGAGGTCATTTCATTTCAGGCCCTATAGGGCTATACCAGCGCCTCATCTCGAAGAAGGTCTCCGAAATGGCTGCTGAAATGGAGACGATCCAAAAGTGCTAGGTGGTTTCGCTGGGGGTCAAACGATGTCTAACGGTCAAACGCTTTTTTGATGGTTTGGTCATAGATGGCACAAGTCCAAGAATGCCCTGAACATCTGGAGTTGTGTCAAAAAATCATTAGTCGAATTGGACTTCTACCAGCATCCTCCAACAGGTCTAGGGAGAATAGAATTGTCCAAAACATGCATCGAAGTGACGTCCACGCCCAGGAGGGTTCTGGGATGTTCTCACCACTCCCTCCATTGGACCTGGAGAGTTTTAGGCCTGTGAACTCACGCAAAAGAAGTCCAGAGGAAGTCCTAGTTCGACTATCAGACTGGCAGTACCGAGCGACTCGGACTCGCACAGCAGCTCCCTGCTGGACTCGAGATCGGGTGGTCGCCTTCGGCCTCTTCCTGGGATGGTCGATCTCTCTTCCCCCAGGGTCGCATGCCGCATCTCTCCCGCATCTCACGCGGAGAACCGGATCACGGCCAGGTCGAGGAAGAGTACTTCGGGTCAAAGAGCTCCGCGGCCCCTCGGGAGAACGGTGCCCATCGACCCTCAACAGTGGTCCTCCGGTCTTCGGAGTCGACGCTTCGAGAACTAATCCCAGCTTTGGAGGGACCGGGAGTCTGGGCGGTGAACGAAAACGGAACGTTTGGGTAGACCTCGAGTCTCATGCAAGTACCTCATGCAACGGATCAAGCAAGGCACGTGGATGTCTTTGGGGCAGCTGTAGATCAGCACCTCGAACCCGCAGCTGTAGGCCTCTGGTTTTTTGTTGCCCGTCGTGGAGGGGTGGTTGGTGGTCTAAAACTTAAACCGTTTCCACATCGACTTCGACAAATGGATTGATGTTGGGGATAGGGGGGTCTCAACTTGGCCAAAAATTCGACCACCTGGCAGGCCAGGTGCCAGGTGACGGTCAGGGGCGCGGAGACACGGCGCTGGAAAACCCCTGCGTGTAGCACCATTCACCTGCGCCACACGACCGGGTGAGGTCAGCATCGATGGAAGTCATGTGCGGAATTCCCACACTGGTTTCCAGTGCCTTAGCTGAACGTGACGCGGAGCTCCTTGTTCAGTGCCGTGGAGGGCCCAGGTGCACATGAGGGGTTGCCACTCAAAGGAACTGACAAAAGGGACAAACACCACCCCTTTGTGAGCCCTGGATCTGAGTGTTCCCTTTCTGCTCCCGCTTGCTCCCGCTTGCTCGAACACCTTCTCTTGCGAATCGTTTGAGCGCCATATTGGGATGTTCACATCACAAAGCGCCCCTGAAGGGACAGGGAGGGCGTCGTTCTCGGGGTGTCTCAAAAATTTGCAAATTCAGCTCCTGCTGGCATTCATGACCCTAACAATCCATGGTCTCTGACATGCTGAGTGCCCTTTCATCCGGCCGACGGAATGTTCAGGTATCATTTCAATTTCATCAAAATTCTTGACACCACCTCCAACTGATGGGCCAATATTCCAGTCCGAACAGTCTTAATATTGTTGAGCTACGCCGAGCTGGTTTCGTAGTCTAAAACCCACCCTAGCAAAACGATGGTTGTTTGGTAAAGACTTTAACTATCTTCAAGTATATCTTTAAACCAATTACAGTAGTGGTATGAGGGCTAGGGAAAGCCACCCCACTAGCCCAGAGAGACCTGGTAGAAGGAGGTCCGTTTCTTAAATCCAATGGCGTTTGACTTCTTTTCCAGATGGGATGGTCTGGGTGCTCTCAGCTCTTAGGGAGACAGTTCAAACATCTTCATCACTCAAAGACTTTCTCAGGGATCATCCACCACCCCAAAAGATGCTCCCACTTCCTCTCAAAACAGAGATCTCCTCTGGGTATACCTCCTCTGGGCCACCAAAACTGCATGCCAAAACCCACCAACCGCGCATCAACCGCGCCTTGCTCAAGGCGGGTGCTCAAACACGGTTTTGAGAACCAGATGATCCATGCCGATGCCTGGACCAAGCTCAAAGCCACGAAGCACCACGGTGGCCGAACCACCGGCGAACCGGTTCGGGCCGGACCTCGCCGTTCTGAGAAGAGGATGTGTTTCGAAAGGGATGGATCCGGGGTTTTGCCATAAAATACCCCATGCAGTGAAACAGCTGGTCATTCGGGATGGTTGGGCTCAATTCCATGCATCCCGAACGTCGTGGCGGAGAGAGCGAGGACGGGCAGATTTCAGGAAGGGCCATAAGTTCGAGCGAGGCGGCGAGTGGTTCGCCGGGTGGTTTGGGCTGAGCATCCAAGGCTTCGGAGCACGTGTTGGAAAGAACCAACAGTTCCAAGGACAGGTGGTTTCAAGATACCAATTCGATGAGTTGTTGTCCCCACTCGAAGTAAAGAAAGTTCCTTCGGGAATCACCAACCAGCACCTTCACTGCCAGGTCTCCGAGACTCAAAAGTGGCAGGTGGTGACCGGAAGCTGCCGCTTCGCCTGCTTGGCTCGGGCAGTCGTGAGGTATGTCGAGACATTGAAAGAAGAGATCTTCTTCATGGCTGTGGAGAATCGCGCCTTGCCAGAGAAGCTCATGTGTTGAAAAAACCGTGGATCCTGGTTTGGTGCCAAATCCTGAGTAAAATATGGTTGCTCGGGATGGTGGGGCCCTTAAATCAATGGTGTGCTTTTTGGGAATCTGCAGAATCCTTGGGTTCCGGGGTCGGTTTCAGGGCGGGTTTCGCCCCAGGAATCCATGCACGGGCTTTGGGAAGCCCCCAAGTTGGACGGATGAAGCGGGATGAACCGGAGCCTCCCTCACCCGCACCGGTGCCACGGCGAGAAAGACAAAGGGGGTGACTCTCCAAGCAGATGATTCTGGGAACTGTACCCCCGAAACCCTTCCAAGCCAGCGTCGGTCTACGGGCATTGGATGACTACTCCCAGACACTCCATGGGACTGCCATAGGACTGCCACCCCATTGACCCCTCTGGCACCACCCCAACTGATATGGCATATATGGCAGTCCCATTAGTCGTGTCTGGGACTCTCCAAAGCCTCAACTTCTGGGAACTGCTGTGATTCCTACAGTCACAAGACGGGGTGCGATCCATGGAGGTGCCCAGCTACTCCACTGGATGGGACGTTTCACACCACCCCGTCGAACGTGACCGTTCGTTCTCTTTGGGGATTGCACGTCCACCGGGTCCCGGTCGGCTTGCGAGTGGAGCGACGCCCACGGTCCTGGGTGCGGTCACAGACTCGTCTTGGGATGTTTTACCTTCACAGACCACACTGGATGCCACACACAGGTGGGAAGATGGAGGCAGAAAGTCTCAGCTGCCAGTCTCAGCACTTTCACCCTCCTCCGATTCCTCTCAACGCGGTGAGGAGCGCGCCTCCATCCGTCCCATTCGGAGCCGGCTGCGCCCGCCACCGTTGGATGCGGCGCAGCCGCCGTTGGAGCCGCCAAGGTCAAAATATCAAGATATGTGATGCCGCGCAGAAGCTCGAGCGTGCTCGGGCCCTCAGCTTTGAGGAGGTTTTGGAGGTATGGTGTTTTTGAATACCGCTAGTTTTTGGATAGTTGGAGTCCCGAAAAACTTGTGATTTTACTTGACTGGATTTACACTACGAAACCAGCTCAACCATTTTAAAACATACTGTAGTCGAACAGAAGTCCAGGTCTTAGCTCGAGGGGACCGGGTATTGATTCTGGAGGCGATTGCAGATGCACCCAGAGGCGAGGGAGCTCGGACCCAAATCCTTTGGAAACATTCCGACCTGAATCCTTGGAGGGCTCTAGGGTTTCTCACCAATCCCTAGGTTTTCAGGGACCAACAGAGGGTGGACCCTAGTTTGACTATCCCAGTTGGGTATCCCAGTAAGGTCCTTTTGCAGGTCAAAAAACCTTTCTTGGAAGGACTGTGAACGGAAGGTCGAGGTTCCGGGTAGCTCATGTTGGTCGATCGAGCCTGATCGAGTCTTCAATTCATGGTCAGTGTCCCACTTGAGTCTTTGCTGTTCAGGACTCATGAACTGGAGGTCTTCTTATTATATAACAATGGTTGGCATGTGAAATATCCGGAGGAGACCTGGCAGGTTTCGGATGCTGGCATAATCTGGTATATAGATGAACGCCTGTTTTTTCGTACCTGGACCCCCCATAATCGATCGGTGTTACCTGGTGTTCCAAGTCTGCCCAGGTTCACCACCACCTGTGGGAAAGGGTCTCCAAAACCGCCGAACCAAACAGAGGGTCTTGGTATGGGTTTTGAGCCGCCCAAGAGAGATGTAGTTGGGCCGGACATGTCCCCAGTTGAAGCTCCAGATGGCACGACTCCAGATGTCTTGTCAAAGCTGTGGGAGCTTGCCCCACCTGAAAACTGCGAAGAAGAGCTAACAGCCCAGACGCTCTGTTCACAGGCCTTGGTCCCTCTGGTTTGAGGGTCTGGACCCCTCCGTATGAGGGTACGGCCCAGGGTCGCGTCTGGAAGAATGTCATATGATTTCTCGGAACGCGTTTCCGCCTTGGTCCGTTGTACTCGCCACCGCTGCAGTCGACCGCACCGTGCAACCAGCGCGGTGCCCAAATCGCCGAAAACGCTGCCACCGGCACAACTATCGAGGCTAAAAACATGCTGAAGTCGCTCGAAGGTGCGAAGATGGAGTGTGGAGATGGGCCAGAAGATTCAAGTAGAACGGGCTAACGCCGGGCGCCGCCGACCCCGGAGCAAGGAAGCCCCCCCAAAAAGACATTGAACTTCAAACAGCCCCAAGAATCCGTGCCCGCCCGGACCCCTTGTGTTTTGGTGTCTGTTTCCTGCCATGGAGGGTTCCTACAGATTCTTGGGGAGGCTGCTGCTTTCAGGGCAGCGGACGAACCGGAGTCCCTCCGATCGAAAGGGAGGGTGCTGGTCTTGATCATTTAAGTAGCAAGGACCGCTACCAACGAAGCTCCTTGGCCTTACTACTAGGAGCAAAGAAGCTACCTCTTAAAGTCTTAGGGGCTCCCGGCATCGCGACTCGAACCGTTCGCGAGATTCGGACCGCTACGAACTAGAAGACGCGACTAGCCCGTCTCTATCGTTGGACTAGGAAGACCCCCCAGCCAGAACAGTTGGTCCAAAGAACCACTCGAACATGGAGAGCCGGACCGCCGAAGTTGGCGATGGGGGCGAGTGTGGGGCGGTGAGGTGCGCCTATCCTGGTTGTAGGCATCAATGTCTCTCTTTACATCGGTGTAGCTATGGATCAACTGTGCCACATGTGTGCCAACTTGCATCCTTTTTTAAAACCAGCCAGCCAAGTTCGGCAGACATGTTGCCGCTATAGTTGGAAGATCTAGCTATCACTGGGTCAAGAAGTGTCCAACGTCTCGGGATTGGGCCCAAAACCCAAACAGCCCTCCTCAAGCCGGATCGTTCAACTGTGTAAAATAGTTGTCGGTTCATCTATTCAAAGAAATGCCGAGTTCACATCATTGCATAGTTAGAAGCTCCAGGAATGAACCACGAATGGAAGACGTCTGACATGCGAGTCATTCTTGTGGCCCCACGGTGAATTTGGCTTGTTTCGCCAGCACGCCGTGGCCGTGCCAGATGCGGACTTTGAGTTGCACGCCATGTGCTTGTGGGTTCCAGAGGCTTGCTTCGGCAGAGGGTTCCTTGCTGCTTGGGCCGTGGACATGATCTGGATTTTTTCAACACCCCGCTGGAAAGCTGGTCTCAACCAGAAACAGTTCACGATCTTTCCCCAAACCGCCACTTCCTAGTAAAGGATCGAAATGGATCGAACAATTCCCATCTTGGGTTCCCAACTCCAGAACTGTTTCTGGTTGAGTCCACTTCCCAGGCCTCATGGATTGTCCATTCACCACCCAGTTCACTGGCATGATCACACCTGGAGTGCGCGTTGTTTTCGGAACCGCTTTGTCGCTTGGTCCTCCGAACGCGAACCGGTTCCGGTCCAAACAAGTGAAAAGTAGGGGCTCCAGACTCACCCGCATCCCTTTGGAGTGGTCCGGACCTTCGAAACCAATTTCCAGGGTTTGCTTCGGGACCTGGGCTGGAGCATCTGGGCCCTCCTTTTGCCAATATAGGTCAGCACCTGCCACGAAAGCGTCTGGGTCTCCATTTCAGCCAAGTACTGGAAAGGCCAACTCGCGGAGTAGTAGTGGGGCAGATCTCTCACTACCTGGTGCTTATAGGGGCAGGAATCGGGCTCAGAGAATGCATCTTATACTCTAAGTCGTATCTCTAATATATTAGCGGTTCATTCCCTCAAACTCGACTCTTGATTGTCATAAACGGCGGTGCATGTTCCCCGTTCCACAGCCCACCGATCTACCGGTCACGCCCAGAACTCCACGTCCGTCGAACTCGAAGACGGTCGACCGATTCCACGCGGAGCGGCGCGACAGGTCGCCATTCGCAATCGTGGCCAGCACCGCACCGCCGAGAGTGGCCGCGTGATGTGCTCCTCGCCGCTCGGCTGCAACCTTGGCGAGCACGGGTTCCCCCCTGGTGCTGGCATGGATGTTTTGTATGAAATCACTCCAGTCTGTCATGAGGTCATGACTTTCGATGGGGGGGTTGTGCCCTTCTTTGGAGTCCCATCCAGTGACCGATCTCTAGGGTTCAAACCACGCGGTCGAACGCCGAACCCGCAGAACCCGACCGGTTGTGCCGCGCCGGTGGTGACGGCGAATGTGATCGGCATGGGCCGTTGTGATCGGCGTGGCGGTGATTTCAAGGACCCTTTGACCAATGAATTGGCCGCCTGGCCAATTGTTTTTCTTAGAGATGTGTGGGGATTGCTCGTCTTAGGGATCTCTGATGTTCTCTGTGTGGGAGTTGGCTTTCGAAATGAGATCTCACCGGTTGATACTCCACGGGTCAATGAGGAGGACGACCTTTACCAACTACCACTTTTGACACAGTCGGCAAGTCATATCGAGGGATCGACCAAGTAACGCAGCCTATTTGGTCGATGTTGACGCGGAAAAAGGGGCTTCAGACGGGCAAACTGCCTGAACATCACCTGGAGGGAACTTCCTCAAACACAACCCCACAATTCTTACATTAGATTGTTAGATATAGGGGGTCTCTTCCCGGGTGGAGATGAGAGTGGGAGGTGGAATTCATCAACGATCCGAAGGAGGGTGCGGCCATCCAGGATCCATTGCTAAAACTGCCTACCAGGACCCACTGTGTGATGGTTCATAGACACCCCGAATTGCAGAAGATAGATCCCATGGCGGGGTCCTGCTATGTGAATGTGGCAAGAAGCTTCAAAGCCCAACAACCAGACCTGCTTCGTCCGGCTCTTCTGGGGTTGACCGAAGGTCTCCCCGGTGCGCACCGAACCCCGCGAAGACACGCGGTCCTTCGACTGTTCAACGTTGGACGGTTCAGCAGCCGGGGCGAAGACACGCGGGTGTGGCGTGGTGGAGAAGCAGCGGGCTGTGATGAAAGTAGACTCTTGAGGACCATACACCCAAAGTGAAGAGGTTGTTCATATGAAGAGTTTCGGGTGGCTTAATGGTCCTCAAGAGTCTACATTACAATGAAAGCTTTATATACACATGCATGCCAGCACCACTTAGAAATCGGGTGGTCATTGGATGTGTTCCATGTAGAGTCGGAGAAGGGGTCTAAGACCAAGCACCCTTTCCTGCGTGGTGCTGGTCTTTGTTGGCAATTCAACCGAATCTGGTGTATACTGTATAGGCCATCATTGGCCACATCCAGCCAAAAACCACGATCCTTCAACCCAATGAAGGTCATGCAGTTGGAGGAACTGGTCAAGAACTAAACCAGACTCGCAAGAAAAAGGACAAGGCCTCAAAGAACTCGTCCCGTGAGCACAAGAGACTCCTCCCATCGACCTCACCGCGTCGGTCTCCGGTCACCGCGCGGGCGTGAAACGTCGAAAACGCCTCGACCGCAGGTCGTACGCGAGCAGCACCGAAGCCACCTTAGCCTTTGCGAAGAACTGGGACGAAAAGCCACTCGGCTGCAGCAGGGATGTTTTTTCGTTCGGATGAAGAAGGGTAAGTACGTTCGGATGTGGAAGATGATACCACATGATCTTCGCGCTGTCGAAGATCATGCACACACACTTTGTAGAAATCAAGGCCTCTTCTCTTGAAATTCATGGAAACATCCTTGGCCTCAGAAGACCCCGCTTCGCAACGAACAAACAACGCCCCGGGTCGTCATCGACCAAGCACGTCCTTTCTATACACGGCAGTGTGGTGGTCCATGACCATATACTACTATGTCACTATATGTCTCAATAAGGGTCAATGGGGCGGTCCATCTTCCACGGTGCTTTGGCGATCGCAGCCTCGGCCGGTTTTCGGATTGCGGAGAGATGCGCGCGGCTCGAGAGCGAACTCGCGATCGGCGATCTGCGATGGGTCCGAGGATTCGACAAGGTGATGCGCGATACAAGAGCTTGGTCCTCCTGGACAACACTCCGCCCCTCGGCAAGCCAGAATGAGAGCCGCGGAGCGAACGCACTCCTGAGCCGGTGGGATTCAGTCGTACCGAAGCTCAGGTACCGTACCCCGTACCTGAGGTTCGGAACGAAAACGGATGCCTAGGGGAGGAACTCGGGGTGCCCCTGTCACATCCACTCACTGGCTGGGACGAGCCACACCACCAGGCCTGAGTGAGATTGCTTGTTTTTGCTCCCGTTCGATTCTGCGGGGAACCAGGTGCTCCAGGCAGCGCTTTAGGGTTTTAGGGTGTGCTGGTAGATGAGAGGTACATGACACATAATACACAGCACCCATAATATTCAAAGGCGTGGTGATGAGATGGTGTGTTTCTCTTGTTCTGGGCGATAGGTTACCATGTGGTGAGTGAACACCTCGATGTGCCGTGTCTTCTGGGATCTCTGCCTATACAAAAAACCATGCCCTGAGATGCCCTGAGCGCAGGTGAACCTAATGGTTTGGAACTATGTACCGTAGGCTTCCAACCACCATTAATAGGCTGAATCCCGAATCAACTAAGGCTTACTAAGGATTTTACTCCAAAAAAAACAGGTCGTTCGGTCGTTCCCATCTTTTTCATGGTCGACTTCCGTTCGTCGAACGGGTGTATCGGTTCCCTAGCCGAACGAGAAGAAGAGATGAACGATGACGACCGACCGAAGGAGACCCGACAAGACACTCATGACCAGTGGTTTCTGGGCACCCGACGTGTCACCCGTAGGTGTCATATATGTGTCACAAATGGGAAAGAGCTGGTGAGGGAAGTGTGAAATCCGTCGAAACCGATTCTTTGCCTTCAAGACCCTTAAGTACAAAGGTGGGCCAGGAAACCCAGAGGTGTTTCTTATGAATCATGAATGTGAAGCACCACACAGATTGAGCTCCTATCTGTCAGATGCGCCAGTTTCGCACAGTAAAAAAGGGGTCTGGGCCTCTTGGGAGGGTGTCTCGTAGGTGTCATCCAAATCATAACACGTTTCGACGTATTTTGGAGCCGTTCGTTGATGTGTTTTTGTCAAACAGATGAATCAGCTCTTGGCCTAAACAGCTGTCGACCCAGTCGTCCACCGAGTTCGCGTGACGGAGTTCGCGTGACACATGTGCCATCCGCGGACCGATTGGTTCGGATCCCGTGGTTGGAGCACGGATTCCAGAAGATTACACTCCAAATCCTCATCACCTGCTTGTCTGAAAGCTCATGGTCCTCAACCAGGGACGTGCCATCCACTTCCATGATTGCAGGGAGTGTAGCATAGGCAGCAAGCTTCTCTTGGGGAAAGGTCTCCATGTTACATTGATGCCTTGACACATCTTGACACTGATCCCAGAGCATCTTCTCCAGAGCCAGACCCCTATCTTCAACGCACAGTTCCACCTGGAGTTGGCATTGGGCATGTGTTTTTCTTCGAACTCACGGAGCCTTTTGAGGCGACGAGCTGTGCGCATCTCCTTGGAGGAGTTTGAGCCGGGGAAGCTCAGAGAATCCGGTGCTACTTCCCAGACACGAAGTCTGGACTATGTTGGTTCGGTCAGTTGTGAGGGTCCAAACCGGGTTCAATGAGCCTTTGGGCAGACGCGAGGTCTGGACCCTAAGTAATTAGACTCTTTGATGAATAAGCCCCCCCCTCATATGGAAGAGGTGTTGTAATTCAACTGGTGGGGTGTATCAATCAAGAGTCTACCTTCGGCGCCATCCCCGAATGCCTTTGAAGGGGGGTGTTGGGACCCTCCTCTCACCAATCCCTCCCGATGCTTCGGAACGTCGGCCCGGCCCGAGTCGAGTGAGGAGACCAGAAAGGACACCCCAGACGCGAGAGGGACCGTCCCTGGACCCTCCGTGAGTGAGTAAGTGAAAAGTAGGGGCTCCAGACTCACCCGGCATCCCCGAGTGGTCTGGACCTTTGGAACCAATCCCTAGGGGTTTGGTTCAACACCCCCTTCAATCTTAGACAACAGAGGTCATGACGTAGCGACCGATCGCTCGATCGAACGAATGATCGCTGGATCCTTCCAGGATGACAGGGTGCTAGACCGAACTGCATGACAAGCAGGAAAGATTGGAAAGACACACACACACAATGAAGAAAAAACAACATTAAACAAAAAAAACAATACACGTGTGGATATGTTCCTGTTTTGTAATGTATTGATGAACATGGATGAGACACTGATTGGAAAATGTAGCTCTTGATCGTTGGAACATGTTTTCTTTTCATGTTGATTCCTCTACCCGCCAGGTCACCAATGGTTTGACCGGTACTTGGACGAAAAAACCTTGGACGACTTGTTGGGGGATGCTGGTATCCCTAGACCGATATCCCGAAGAACCAGCTGTTTTGCTAAGGATGTTACGCTACACAACCAGGTCTTTCCCATGTGCTTTTCATTGTCCAACGGAAGGAAAAAAGGACCCCTTGTCATAGATGGAAGTTCGTAGATCCCCACATCGAACATGTGTTGGAAACCGTGCCATAGCGAAACTCTCGATTTGGGGACCACAAAAGGTGTCGTCTCCTTGGACCGCGGTGGACTCGGACTCCGTGGACTCCGCCTTGGTGCAGGGTGCGGACGCACTGGGCGGCGGAGGAATCGGAAGAGCACTACCAGCGGCTTCGAGAGGACTGAGCAGGCCGGGTGGACGGTTTGGACCCGTGCGGGACGTGTTTGGGGTGACTCCGCATGGGGGTGGACGAAGAGTCAACCAGAAACCCAGGAAAAGCGGATTCACATGGCTAAAGGCCGCGCTAGCCTGGCTTGGCACAGAAGCGCTCTTGTGTAAAGCCACCACGTGACTTTTGGAGGAAGCAAGAGTGTCCTACAAGAGTGTCCTACAATGTAACAAAAGTGTCGTACCAGAGTTTTCTACAACAGTATCCCCTTTCGTGTCCCCTTCAAGAGTGTCCCATTCCAGAGTTTGCCACAGCATCCGCATCCAGAGTGCCCCTTTCGCTGCTTCGTCTCAAAAGACTGTCGGAACAAGAGTGCCTTGACTCCAAACTTCATCGCGGGATTGGCCGTCAAGGCCCTCAAGGCCATGCACACGTCAGTGATTTGCTGCGTTGGGCTGGGCTCGCACTTTTGGAGTTCATTTTCTTCAGCATGCTTGTCAGCTGTGGAACACAGTGATGCTTGCCGGCAAGCCGTGCAAAGCGGCAAGCCGTGATCAGGCCCCACGGCATGCGGAATGCTGGATTCAAAGCACAGGTTCCTTGGAACCAATAATGTAGATAGTGTGTTTGAGTACCAAATAATCATGCCGCCGCACATGTGTTCCTGGTGAAGAGTGTGTTGGCCTTTATCAAGTTCTGCGACTCGTCATTGCACACACACGCACACACGGAGGGTCTATACACAGCAGCAATGGGATTTCAGTGCGCACGGCAGACTCTTCTTGCACAACCACTTGCTTCCTTGAGTGAGTTGGCAAGGACGGGAAGGGTTCCCAAGGCGCTCGTGTGGACTCGAGACATGGTGACGCAAGTGACTCCAAGCGCACGACCGTCCGGTACATGCCATCCACACGTTCAGCTCCCACGGGGCACGGACGCTTTGATTCCAGGTGTACATAGAAGAGCCTGCATTCGAGCACTGCAAAGGTTGTTGCATTGATGAGTGCAAATCGCCAGCGAATATACGCCAAATGCACCAGCTCCCAGTAGGCAATTTGAGACATGAGTGGTGTTTGGAGTAGGCAATGCCGCTCGGCAACTCCACGCTCTTGGTGGTGAGAAGGTCTGGTGTGCCTGATTAGGCTGTTGAGCAGGAGGCATCTGAAGGTGAAGGCGAAAAGCTTCATGAACCTGAAGGTCTAGGTTCAGTTGAAGGCGTTGTCGAGATGGAAGTGGAGGATACCCAGCATAAAGGTGAGCCCAAGGAAGGCGCAGGTGAAGTTGATGTCAAAGAAGGTGTTCAAAGCCACTGGTCGGCATGGTTGATTTGGCAATTCATCAAAGCGATGATGCTGCGGGGAAGATTTGTGTGCAGAGTACAGAGTTGTTTGGAGATGAACTCTCCAGCGAGGAGAGGAAGCTCATGTCAGGTTTACCAGAGAAAGTTCGCGACGGATAGGATGGCGGGATCACGCTGATGAACTATCGCGGGGGTTCCTTCACACGCGGCGAAAACCCGAGTGATTGGTACTCGAAGCCTGTCACAGGCACATTGGCGCCTTGTTTCGCCGGTGGTGTGCTGGTGATCTGCAGAAGATCAACTTCAACTTCTTCCCCGAAGACCGAACTACCTACCGAGGCGCTAAAAGCCTTATCCCAGCCGCAAAGCCGAAGCTTCCACTTGACCTCTTGACTCTGTCTGGCTTCCACTTTGCAGCCCTGGCGTTTTCGGGTGCCGCGGCCCTACACGGGGTTCGGCGATGGCCCTATGCCGGGTGTGTCGATGGGCCAGTTCTTCAGCCCTGCGATGACTTTTCAGCATGTCAAGCGGTGCCTTGGCTTCTAAAGAAAGGTTCATTGGAGGGCTCTACGTTTTAGCTTCGATCGTCGTCGCTTTCTTTCATGCTGCTTTGGCTTCCCTCTCTTCATCGCGCGCCAGCAGCCCAGAGTGCCTTCATGTGACAGTGTCCTCCATCTGGACTAAGTGAGGTCGACGCCACTGAACCCCATGACTGATACACAGCTAGAGATGCTTTACATGAAGACAATGCGACGAGGCCGCGCGAAGACCATTTGCATGTACGCAACGCAATGCACCCGCCTCACTGCTCATGCATGAAGCAAATGCAACAAACTTAGACAGAAACCCTATTAAAAAGAGGAGGCTCTTTCGACGGACGAGGCTCTGTCATAGAGGACGAGGTGGTTGCATACTGGCAAAGCCCACGGTGACCCAACCAGAGTTCGTTCTCCATGGGCAACCGTCGGGCAACGGGTTCATCGACCGAAGAGTCGCGGAACTCACGGATTCCGGGCCATCTGTGGTGTCGACAGTGACATGTGACTGACACCCTGTGAGAATGACACCGGTTCACCGGTTCACGCGCTAAGAGCAAACTGGTTCTGCACCCAATGAGTTCTGCACTTCCATCGCTGTCAGTGGTCCCACAAGAGAGTTCTACAAGAGTGTCCCCTTCAAGAGTGTCTCCTACAAGAGTGTCTCGCAAGAGTGCCCCTCACGGGTTTTGCACGAAAGTGTCCCACAAGAGTGTCCCTTTCAAGAGTGTCCTACAAGAATGTCCCACAAGATTGCCCCACAAGAGTGAGTGTCTCACAAGGGTTTTGCACAAGAGTGTCCCGCAAGAGTTTTGCACACGAGTTTCCCACAAGAGTGAGTGTCGCGCAAGAATGTCCCACAAGCGGTTTCCACAAGAGTACCCTACAAGAGTGGCTAACAAGCGTGCCCCACAAGAGTGTCAACCAATATGTGGCCGTTTGTTTTCGAGTGCGTGTGCCCATTCGGTTTGTGTTGTCCATCTCGTTTCACTACCCAACCTGATGGTTGTTGTCCTTGTCCCGGAGGAGGGGTTGCGCACCCGAACACCAGAGCATACAGCAATGTTCATTGCCCAACTACCATGTTCGCACCTATTTTCTGGGATTTCAATCGTTTTTTTCATGGTTCGACAGATGACATGATTCCGAAGTTGGAGCGCCAGTGGGTTCCTGATGATGACTGTGTTCAAATGGTGTTCAACAGCTGAGTTTGCCTGGTTACACTCCCTGGTTCTGTGGATGTATAGGCAGAATATGGCAGAATTCTGCACAGTATTGGGAAGATCCAGGTGTCACCTGAGATAGGAGAAACCTCAGTACGCCTTCCCGCTGCAAACTCGAACCGATTCAGGCAAAGCGTATGTAAAGGGCAACAAACACACCAAACAGCTGGAGGATTTGCAAAGAAAAACACCCTGCTCAAACATGTTCCCTGTAGATTCTCTGGAAGCTCCTAACGGGGATTCTGGATTCACGAAAACGTGGAAGTAAGGAACACTCTCCGAATCACATCAATAGCATGGAAGTGGAGTTCACCACGCCCTGGAGGCGCATGCACTTCAGTTCCAGCCAAGGTAGAAGTTTGAAAAGGGTATTTTGTTTATGCTCGGAGGTGTGCAATGCCATGGCCGTCCACAGTGTTAGTGACTCTCCCAGTGATAAATAAAGGGTTGTTAAATATTACTCCCGCATTAAATATATATATATATTGTTATTTGATCCTTGTGTGTCTTTCGTTCTTTCTTTTCGTCTCTTTCTTTTGGAAGGTCGAAAGCATTTGGTTTCCCACCATCATTTCATCGCCAGGTCATAGTCCTCGAGCTGCTCCTGTATCATTGGTCAGCGGCATTTTCTCCTCGTGCCGACAGCCCGGTGAAGAATCCATGGATGGATGACAAGAAAACTTCACCATGTAGCTGAGAAGAGTTCGTAGTGCTTACAGGCTTACTTTATAGAAAAAGTATCGAGAGGTGGTTTCATAGGTGTCCAAACAATTTCCTGGAAAGGATGTTTTATGGACACCCTGACTATGCATCTTCCATCCAATCACCACCCCTTCCGTGGTGCTGGTACCTGGAGTCTCCTGTTCAGGCTAACAGTTTCTGGGCCCCGGGTTTGTCACCGTCAGAGAACACCATCGTGGTCCAAGCCCAGTTTTGTTGGGCGATGTTCAGGTGATGGTTCTTTTCAGGAACTGGGCCAATCCCTGAAACTCCGAGCGTGATGTGTATGAAACCAATTTGGCAAGAGAACCTCCCCAGCACCTTTGTTCAACACCCCAGGCTTCCCGGGTGGTTCGTATGGATGCAAAAATACCCTCTGTAATATACCCCACCCTCCTGTCGAGGTGTTTATCAACAGCGGTGATTCGAGGCACTTACAGGGGCTAAAGAGGTCAGAAAGCCGGAAAAAGTCGATGTTGAAAAAAAGAGGTTTCAACTGTCGACAAAGTCGATGCGATTCGGTCCCTAAGTCTCCGACGGTTGCCGACGGCGAGTGTTGGTCTCTAGAGTGAAGTAGAGGTTTTTGGCCCTCCAAGGGCGAGATCTGGACCCTCCGACGCGAGTGGTCTGGACCCTCCGTGAGTTCCCCTGGCGGGGCTACGTAGTCGGTGGTCCTCAGGTCAAAAGGTGGGCAGAACCTTCTCACCAATCTCTACCCTAGGCTTCCAAATTCACTTAATAGGCTTTACCCAATCAACTAAGGATTTTACACTACAAAAACCAGGTCGTTCCCATTGTTTTAATGGTCGTTCCCGGAAGTCGAAGGGGTCGGTTTGCTTCGGGCACCGGGAGGTCCGGCCCCGTGAACTCAGGCGATTTGATTCTGGTGGCCCTAGCCTTCCACGATGTTTAAACATGAATCAATTCAATTCAATTCATATGAATGATTGAGCTGGTTTTGTAGTGTAAAATCCTTAGTAAAACATTCCTAGTTCGGTAAGCACCATGAATGGTGGGCCAGGAAATCCTAGGGTCTATATAATTCTATAGCCAATCGAGGTCTTCCAATGTGGCATAGGCGGCATCACTAGGCTGTCGAAACTTGAGGCAGCCATCTCCGTTGGGGCGGGGTTTTCTCCCCCCACGGAGAGAGAGGGGCGAAGGTTTTCGCCTCCCTTGCACCGGGTGCCGCGAATGAATTTCCACTCTGCATCGACCTGGGTTGTGTACATGTTGTATGGACACTCTAGCCTTCCAAGACGCTTCTTAAAACGAAGTGAGCTTGTTTCGCAGTGAGTGATTTGTAAAACGATGGTGGTCCTTGATTCAGACTATCAAGTCAACAAAAGTGGGCGACGACGGGAAGCCAAACGGGTATGGACTGGTTTAGGGTATTGGGAGTCGAAATGAGCAACCAAACAGGCGAAGGTATCAAGATGGTGCAGTCGTAGCCTGTTTGTTTTTCCCGAATGCGTAGCGAAGGGTTCTGGTCTGGGGGTAGAGCCTATTTGTGAGTATGAAGATGGGGTCCGCAGGAACACTGGTTGAACCTACCAGGACCTTCAGTTCGTGACCCACTTGGAGTGCCTGTTGGTGACCGACCCGCCACTGAGATGATGCATCGGTCACGAACTGAAGGTCCTGGTCGTAGGTAGCTGGTAGTCAAAATATATCACCCGAAGAAAAAAACAACTGGTCATAGTGCTCGTAGAGTTCCTCGACTTTTGAGCCGAAAGAAGAGTTTGACTCATGGATACATCGGAACCCTGGCTGCTCAGACCAGCACCTGCCCAGACACGAAGTCTGGACCCTCCGTTCAGGGACCGGGGCCATACCCTATGGAGGGCCTCCGGACCCAAACTGATCTCTATGTTTTTGATGGACCGAGAAAGGCCTGATTTCACGGAGCATCTGGGTGGTGGGCTTCCGGAGTGGTGCTGGATGACATGGTCACAGACAGAGATGCGAAGACGATCCCAAGCTTGACACCAAAAGAGACCCTCGTGACGGAGGGATTCGGGGCCCGTTGAAGAAGATTGAAACGATTTGGACTAGCTCACCCCCAAACCTTGTTGGGACCAGCTGTTGCTCTTGGACCAGCTTCCTTGTAATTAGTAGCCGTGATTTTGACCTGACCATGCTCTTCTTGAGCAGCTCCGTGTCCTATTGTGTGGTGATGTTCTCATTCATCAAAATCGACTACGTCAGTCAAGTCTCTTTTTGGGGTGGCCTACAGCCTAGGTCCGAGCGCACAACTAGGTCCGAACTCGGACCGTACTCGAAGAATGCTAAAGAAAACAGCCCAGGTCGCAGCCCACTTCGACAGGGGCTAATGCGTTCGATGCGCTTGGCAGTTGCACATGTCTAGCCGCTATAGCCTTCCATTCGACCATGACAGAAAGGTTGACCTGGTTTGGTAGAGTGTAAAATTCTTAGCAAAACCATGGTTGTCTGGCATAAACAATGAAACATTCAATCACTGGTGTATCAAAAGACCTCGAGTGTAGTACTGCCCAGAGGCATGCCAGAATATATGTTCAACTGTTTATTCCATATATTCTGGATCCAACATCAGGCCCCCCACCGATGTCTTCTTGTCCAAAGCATCTCAACGACCCGAGAAGTCCCGTTGCGGCCCTGAGGACGAACACCCGCGGTCGGACGGAATGACAGTGAACCACTGAAGAGTCGGTCCAAAGAATCGGTCGGTTCCTGGACTTCGTTCGGGTTTGGATGTTTTTTTTGTGTCCTGAAATGAAGTCTTATGGTCTTATGCAACCGGGAGGTTCTCGAAATGGATGTCCCTACTCAGCTCCCTGCAGTCAGACCATTCCTTCCAGGACCTTACGTTCGTCAGGTGGTTGACACCGTCATTAACCTCTATAGAGAGTCTATTTATAGACACCTCAAACGGAGGGTGCTGGTCAAGCTGAAACGGATTTGTGGTGTGGAAGAACTGCATGTACGGAATGCCACGACCTTCAGTTCGTGACCGTTTGATCTTCCAGGATGTTCGGTCACGAAGAAGGCATCCGGAACCCTTAAGAAGAAGCCTAGCCCAGCAGTTCCATGTCCGGTGCCCCTGTCACATCCACTCACCGGCTGGAACGAAACACCACCCCCCCACGACCCGGGCGACCGCCACCGGCCTGACTCAGAACGAAATGTCCTTCTTTACCTCATGTAGGAACATGTATATTATATATATAATCTGCTTTTTGTAGGATCAACTCCAGCAACTGATGAGGTCTGGAAACGAAACACGAGACAGACCATTTGGATCCATTTGGTGCGAACGAAACACGAGAGACTCCAAGAGACCGCAGCTCTACGGCAGTTCTACGCACTGATGGATCTCGAGGTCGCCAAACGACCCCGAAGGTTGCCAGGTTCAGGTACCCATACACTCCGGAGCGGCATAGCCGGTGGGGCGGCATCTATGCCAGTCCCATGATGGAGTGTCCGGGGTATGGGTCTCCAAGTGCCAATCCGAGTGTCTGCAGTTGTGTGCTGCAGTCCCCAAACCGTTTCACTCACCGGTCGATGCATGGTCAAAGCCGATCGCGCCCCCGCCGCCTCGTGCAACGTCCAAGCCGCTTAGAGGGAGGACGCAAACGGTTGGCTGAAATTCTCACGCGCTGGGCGACGGCGAGACTTGAGGTGAGACAATCACTGAATCCCTTGCTTGAAGCTACGAACGTAACAAAGAGCATCGCTTTCGAACGGAGCAAGAAGAAACGAACTTTAGCTCCTGGGCAGGAACAAAAAGCTACTAACCCTAGGGCTCCAACCACCTCCTGAGAAGATGGTTGGGGTGGGTGCCAGGACGGTCTAACCACCGAACCTGAGGATATGGGCCAGGAGCCCTAGGGTAAGAACCAACCCCCCAAAACACGACTTTTCCAGGGCCGTTCCACTTCGGAATCCGTGAGCGTTTGGTGTTTGTCCGAGCCCGCCGGTCGTCACGGTCAATTTTCTCTGGGTCCATCCATGACGATGAGGTTGGCCGGAAGCGGTTGCAGGTGGAACCGGTTTCGGGAGGAAGAAGGGAACTCCAGGTAGAAGTCCTCCAGGTGTTTGGTCCCATCCAGTGAGTGGAGTAGCTGGGCACCCCTAACCTCCATGGATCGCACCCCTTTGTGACTGCTGGAAGAGTAGTCCATTTGGCAGAAGATATGAAGATGGAGGCCATCTTGGTAGTTCACGCTCCAATTTACTAGTTCACTGAAATCGATATGTAAAGATGGCCTGGCTTTTGCCCAGAGTAGCGCAGTTGAGTGACGGCGCCCGGGTTCAATGATGGACATTGGTTGGCTGTGAGTTCGTGTTTTTGCTCCAACAAAGCGACCCTTCTTCGGTCGAACGTGTGGGGCCGATGTCCATCGTTGGCGGATCCAGTGGAGCCTTCAGCTCGACGAGAGTCTTCGTTGTCATGACCGCTCGTCCCTTGAAACCTTCCAGGCTGACCAAGTTGCGAACATGAGCAGATCCAACATGAGCATTCGTTGAACAGACTAAGGGAGACAGTTACCAAGACCACTTGCCCGCCACGGACCACCACGGAGCAACGAGGGTCGTCTCTTTGAAGGGTCGTCTTTTTGGTGGAGCAAAGAGCCAAGCATGGAATTGAGTTGATGGGGTTGACATGAAAGACTCGTGAGTTTCGTGGGGACCAGACCCTTCGTCCAAAGGTGTGGGGTGTGGATGGGTGTGGGGGTTCTCACCAATCCCTAGTATTGTTGCGTTCGCACCACGGATTTCGGGTGTCCATAAACCCTGTCGAAAACGCCACGCGAGAGCATCGGCGCCTGGGAGACGAAAAAGCGCCGACAGTGGGGAGCGAGTGCATCGCTGCTCCTCGTTTTGGCGAGGTGGTGCGGCCTTCAGGATCAGCGGATCAAGTGTTTGTCGTTTCCCTTTTCAATCCCCATCCCTCAGTACCG